GATGCTCTGAACTGGGTTGTGAGGGAGGCCACGGATGCAGAGAGAGACCTCTTCTGCTCATCTGACGTGATAAAAATCTATGTAGATAATCTTTCCTTCTTTCTTCTTATTCTATAAGGCTTTCATTTTTCCTAATAATAAAAATCCCAAATAAGTTCATAATCTAGAGCTAATATTACACTTGCTTCTTTTTAGTCTATTTTCTACCACTTTTTTCTGTATATAAAGCAGTTGCAATTCTGTGCAATTGGCTAAGAACACAAAATTAATTAAAGGTACTCTTATAAGTTATGTCTTAAACAATACATAACAAACTAGAAAACAAGCTATTGTTTTTTAATACTGGGGTCCACAGCTGCTTGTCTGAAAGGCTAGGGCTTCAATTCTGAAGTTCTTTTATGTATACTATGGGAGCTAACTGTGTGCTACAAATACATTTTTCTCTCTAAAAATGCTCAGCACAAAACAATCAAGGCCCATCTTTTTTTGTGTGTGTCCTGGTCTTGGGGCTTGAACTCTGAGCCTGGGCTCTTGCCTCTGAGATTTTGCCACAGCTCCACTTATGTTTTTTTTTTCTTTTTGTCTTGTCCTTTTTTGGTACTGCTAGGCAATCACTTTGCCACTGAGCTACAATCCAGCCCTACTTCTAACATTTTTTAGTGCTCAACTAGACATAAAAGTCACATGGACTTTCCTGCCTAGGTTGGCTTTGAACTGTGATCCTCAGATCTCAGCCTCTTGAGTAGCTAGGATTACAGATGTAAGCAAACAATGCATGGCTCAAGGTGTATCTTAACAAAGGAAAATAAAGGTAATAAGAATGTGTGTACAAAGAACTTTAGCTGCAAAACACTCTTCTCAAGAGCTAAGTGGTTTTTTTTTTTTTTTCCCCTTGTTGGGCATGGGGCCTGAACTCTGGGCCTGATCGCTGTCCCTCAGCTCTTCAGTTCAAGGCTAGCGCTCTACCACTTTGAGCCACAGTGACACTTCTGGCTTTAGGAATTGAACCCAGGGCCTCATGCATGCAAGGCAAGCACTCTATCACTGAACCACCTTCCCAGCCCTAGCTAAGTATTTTATAATGGATTTTTAATAGTAAAATTTACAACTATCATGTTGGAGAATAGACTGCATCTGTTTTATATAAAACTGTACCCACCATACTAACCAAATCAGAGTAAACACACATGTGCACATGTACACATACACTCACACTATTTTTTTCTGAATATATATTGTATATATACAAAATATTCTTTAGTGGATGAGCATTTAAATCTAAATTTATCATGTCTTCAACAACTAGAAACATAGTATAGATTATGTCTCATCCAAGCTCAAGGCATTTTAACATTTCCCAAAGGTTACATGATAAACTGTACATATTTGTTTTGAACTTCCTAGTCTCGAACCCTGACACTATCCTCAGAGTGGCAGAATGGAAGAGGGGTCAGGCTTTACCTCTGCAGGCTGGGATGTGAGTACTTGATTTTAAAGGAACAGAAAATTTAGACAGTAGAAGTACAGCATGTCTCTACTTAGGGCATTTTGTACTTCACTGCATGCTGTGTACAATGTGTGAGAGGTGGGTGTTTCTGCTGAGGGGGAGAAGTCCAATATTCCTTTTTAGAGGGAAGGGATTCAGCACCATTCATAGTTTACAAAATATGGGGGTTATGGCAGTTAAAAACTAAATGCTATTTAACTTTTCTGCACAAAATATCTTTGGTAGTTTCCCTAATTATTTATAGTACCCTGCAGTTTTCCTTGTATATTCTTATCTCTGTCCAACTAGAATGTAAACTTTTGGAAGGCAAAATTCAAATATGTACTCTCAAATAGATTTAATGCCCTCACTATAGTGTCTAACATATAATGGGAATTTTTGCAGTATTTTATTTTTATAATTGCCTTTCCTAATCCTTGCATGATGGAACAATGTTGAGTTAAAACAAAAACTTAAAGGGCCAGCATGTTTTGAAGGAATATTCCAGATTAGTGATTTGCTTCTGGAACAATTTTATTTGCTGTTAAACAGCATTTCAATGCAGTTTCTTTCAAAATGTCATATTGTAACATATTTATGGTTGTCAATAATGGGGTAATTAACAGTAAAATAACAAGTATAGATTTTCAGCAATATAATTACACTTCCCTCTCAGAATTGTGTGTGTGTAATAGTGGTTAGTCAGTGAATGACCCTCCCAACAGACTGGCCAGTTGTATCCCTTGAATCCCTGCTGAACAGGATGATAGCTGTGGCATTAAGATATTTTCTTGGTTGGTTCCATATCTTAGCTATGATAAATAATGCTGCAATAAACATAGTTCTGCTGGTAGCTTTAGTATGGTCTTGTTTATGATCAATCGGGTAGATGCCCAAAAGTGGAATTGCTGGGTCATAGGGAAGCTCTATGTGGAGTCTTTTGAGGA